GATTTAGGTTTCCCTTTAATTTGTGCGGATTGTGTCCTCGCCTTGTGTTTTTACTCTGTGCATTAAACAAGCCATCATCAGCCCCTTAATAACCAATGGCCCGTCGTGGCTTCAGATAAGGGCGGGTGTACGGATTCACTGCCTCACGTTGATTTATTACCTGTTGGGGAGGAGATGGGGGTCTTCCACCCTCAATCTACTTAAAAAAGGTAATCTGAGTATCTGAGTCATCTGTGTGGGAGTGAGAACATCTGATCTTCATAGCAAGCAGACTGGAGGGGTGAACTGACAACTGAAACATTCTGCAGGTTTGCAAAAGAGACGAGTAAAGAAAAAGGATGCACATGAAATTTTTTCCAAAGAGGGTAACTTGGTGTTACATAATTCGATCAACAGAGTGCTGATGAGGTTTGGTCAGCATTTAATTTGCACAACAAGCCTGATCTTTGGAACCTAACCCAGCTGTTGAGTAAGCCAGTAGATTGTGATGGGTCAAAAGCCCTGCACGTTCTGATTAGCTGTTGTTCCTCTCCGCCTTCACGCACTTTATCCCAACTGTAATTAATGCGATTTAATCACATTATTCTCTATTTTGAGACCCGTTTGTTTGTATGCATCTGGCCTGCTTTATGTGGGAGCGCAGGCTCGCGGTACCATTAACCCTTCCAAGCTGGCCGCGTGCATTCCGTTGACTCTGCCAGCAATTTGATTTAAAGGTCATTCTCTCCTATCGATCGGCTTTGGCGAGGGGGCGACGGAGTAGCGTAGGGATTGATCATCTAAAATAGAAGAGACGGGATTGGAGACTGTACTGAGTCCAGACCTCGGCTGCATTTATAATTGCTCACCTCGTGTGAATTGAAACGTGTCCGCCGCGGCGACGAAATGGGATGCAGCGCAGGCGGCAAAACGTTTTCTATTAAAATTCTATTATTTTTGAATAATAGGGTCAGAGCAGTGTGTGTGTGTGTGTGTGTGTGTGTGTGCGCGCGCGCGCGCCTGTGTGTGTGTGTGCGTGTGTGAAGAGGTTAAACGATTGTGTGAACGTTAATTCTGCTAATCCCACCCCTTCATATGGGGAGCTACTATCACAAATATCCAGGAGAGCAGTTCACAACTGAAGGTGTGTGCATATGTGTGTGTGTGCGTGCGTGCGTGCGTGCGTGCGTGCGTGCGCGCGCGCGTGTGTTTTGTTGTGCATGTGTTATGAAAGGTGAGCTGTTAATGGGAGAAAAGGTGTTGCACGCTGTAAAAGGTGGAGAAAAGGGGGTGGGGATGGCGCAGCTCCAGAGATGGGAAAGGAGAGGCCGAGGAATGGAAATCGATACAGATTCAGAGCTCGCCAGATCGGCCTTAACAATGTGGCGCATATACGCACTCTACATCCAGATCACATACATACATAGCAGGAGGGGACACGTCATTTTGTTCCAAATCACGCATTCATTACAACAAGGCTAAATTTCAATCTTATGAAATAACCCCACTTTTCCCATTCGGGGTTCATAATTTCCACCCTGTAACATCCAGCTTGCCGCTCGTTTGCGATGTAATTCCGACCAGGCTACTCGTGGCGGGTTACAGATAATGATGGTGAACGTGAGATGTCTTTTCATCTGGAAAGAGCCAAGCAGAAAGGGGGATTAAACCCAAAATAGCCTCGAGGTATAACCTCGCGAAAATGGCTGTTGCTCTCCCACAAGGGGATTGCAGAGGCGATGCTCGTACATGTGTGTCTTGGTATACTTACAGCACGCGCTGGTGTTGCTTAACGAACAAGGAGGCTCTGAAACCACAGATGCACTCTTTGCGCCCCTATCTTCCCCGTTGTACATCAATTATTAAAGTCCCAATCGATCATTTTACAGGCCAACATCGAGCCATTTCTTCAAGAAAAAATAAATAGACTGTCCCAGATTAATCACGTGCTAATGTTTTGTTCAATTCTGACTATTTTAAATGACCACGGGGGGATACTTTGCCCAACACATAAATGCTGTGTTAGAATATTTTGGAGAGCATCACCAAATAAAGAAAGGGCTCCCAGATCAGGGTGGTTTAAATGGACTCGGAGCTGGATGGGGAGGCGGGAGGCAGTGTGGCGTGACTGACGCGGTTGTGGATTGTAATATTGATCAGTGGGAGGAAGCTGTTGGGTGAAATAATGGTGCTTAAGGCCTGTATATGAGGACGCTATTAATGGTTAAGAAAAAAGTCAGGCTCGCCACCTTGATCTGGCTCCAAAACAGATGCATTTCAGCACCATGGACAGCACTCATCGAAGCTTCTTTAATGCGCAATAAACATGGAGTAGGTCCATAAAATAAATAGAAATAAAAGGCATGTTGATTTGTATTTGTATATTTGGATGGAGGTGAATTAGAACATGTTTTTCTCCTGGATTAAGCCTTTGTAAACTGATTGCAGTCCATTGAAACATGAATCGAGCCCCCCTCCCACCCTTATGTTTCTCCTCTGTGTCCTGAGGGTCCTGACCTGCACAGCCTAGCACGTGCTCTGGCCATTCAGATGGAAATAAACCTACTACGTTTTTGTGTGTTTTCCTTTCCTCCTCTCTTTGAAGGGAGAGTGCAGCTCGGCATGCCATCATCCGCCTGAGATGTGCTGCTGCCGTTCTAAAAATGGAATTTTATTTTGGAAATATTGAACATTTTCCGTCAGCTTCTGCCTTGAAAGATGACTAAGCGTAAACACTGAATGTCCCAAGGAGTGGAGGAGGAGTAGACTTGATTTCTGCAGATTAAACGCATGAAAAAGGATGCAGCAGCTCTTTTTATAACAGCTGTCCCCTCTCCCATCCTTTTCTGCCTCCCCTTACTTCCCCCTTCTGCTCCAGGGGAGAGACCAATGGGTGAGAGTGCTGAGGCGGGATAATTGATAGATGCACTGGCTATCCTTATCGATCAGGGCTGTATTGACCCCACCAAATACATTGAGATGGAGTGTGGAATTCAACACAGATGCAAAGACGAATTGTTTTCATCACTAATGCGATCTTTAAATGTCTCCCAACCCTCACCTTGCCCGCGTCTCTCTTACCTGCGCAGCTTTTATAATGAAGCTGTGCTTTGTTTTTGTTCTAGGGCGTCCGGCACATGTGTGGAACATCTTGGTAAATGTGAGGTGGGTATAAAGAACATACTATGCAGTGAAAAGACGGTTCTGCCCTCATTGAAGGACACAAACCCCACCCACCTCCCTCAAACAGGCCTATCTGTGCTATGTTTTCCTTTTACGAGTGGATCACTGTGTGTGCATGTGCGCGTGTGCAGACAGTGGCATTTTTTGCATTAGCTAAGCAGGCCAGCTGCATTGATTTGTGTGACTGTGATGAATTTGGAATAGTAATTTGAATTTATTGATTGATGTGGCCGAGCGAGTATGGCCCAGCCTCACTTTCAGCATCCCAGCCTCTCCCCCCACACACACCAACTCCCCACTGCCCGCCCACACGTGCACCCAGCATAATAGTGATTTTAAATGCAGTAAGTAAAATGTTTCTCCTCTGCATTTACATGCGAGCCATTTGTCATTTTGTCCACATGGAGTTTCCTCGGGATCTGTTGTGGAAGCAGGTTAATGTAAAACAAGAGGCTTCAAATCGGCTGCATGGCAAGCAGGAGTTTTGAAATGGGATAATTGATCAACACTGGATCAAATTAGGGTAAAAGTGACGGCCTAAAACACACACGAGCACACGCACGCACGCAGGCACACACAAACACACACGCACACTCCTAATCTGGTCTGACCACGTCTGAAACATGCAGGTGTGCGCTGCACAGATCTATGTGGCTATCCAAGCTCGCGCAGCTGAACTGGAGGTTTTATCCTGTGGAAGATATAAAACCCCGCAGCCCAATTAGCTTTAACAGCAGTGGCACTTAAAGAGACAATTGTGGAGTGTTTAAATCTTTATTTACCAGAACCCCACTAAATACGCAAAGGAACAATTTACATGCCATTAAGTGCTTTTCAATAGAGCATTGACTGGAACTAAAATATGCCACTATATCTGCTTAATTGAACCTTCCGCTGAAATACGACACAGAAGCGCTGATTGACGTTTGGAAGAGCAGCTCGTCTAAGCAGGGTCTTTACACAAACATCGATGAGAGGGGCACCTCTCTCACACATCTCGCTTTAACCCCATGCTACGTCTCGTTTTCATTTATGTCCCGTTAATCAGGTGATAAGGGTTTTTAAAGAAGGGGGCGGGTTTCATGTGGGCATCTTGTCGCAATAAAAATTCTAATCAAGCAGTGAAGGAGTTTATATTCGAGTCACGTCGCTTCACAAGACCACAAATAAACAATTTCTAGGCAGCAGAGTGCACACACGCATAAGGTAAATCAGATTTGGGGGACGTGGTGTCCCAATGTGCTCAGGCCAAAAAAGAAAGACGCATCTGTTTGTGTCTCTGCCTTTCAGATCCAAATCGATCATTTATCAGCGCGCTCCTCTGAAAGGGGACGCCTGGACCTGAAATATTGATCCAGTGGAGGTCATACTCCCCCCTGGCTCTTTGACCAGGCCTCAGACTCATCCTTGCTTTCGTGTGTTCACAAGAGAAGTGTCAAAATACTAGAATTATTTGTGATGTTTGTAGTGCTGTGTGTTTTTGTCAGCTTGTTACTTTGCAGCGGTTAATTCTCTGCTGATTTATTGTGTGTGTGTGTGGGGGGGGGGGGGGGCATGAGGTGTCCCATTTCTGTGCGTAAAAGCAAACTCTGCCCCGTGCTGCTTTCTTTTGTTTACCACACAACGTTTGTTTGTACATCTGTGGATTGTAGCATCAATCAAATTATAGATTTCCCCCCAACATTTAACACCCCAACTGTCATGATGAAGTTTTACTCGATACAATCGACTAATAACTTCTAGTAATGTCTGTTTGAGCAGCTATTGGCAGTCTCGCCACATTGACTTCTAATTGATCCCTCCACATCACTCAGGTTGGGAGCTGTCTCCTCACTCACCTGCAAGCCTGAGCGCTGACATCCGCTGGAACTCGGGCTCCTGGAGCCACTTCCACATCCTCCTGAACGTCTCCCGTCCAGACTTGAGCTTACTCCACGGTTTAGGGTTCCGCAGCAGGTCAGACAGAGTTCCCTGGGACCGGCACAAGATCCTCTGAGCAAAGATGGCCTGCGGAATGCTGTAGCGCTTGAGCTCTGCTGTTATTCGCTGTGCCACCTCCTTGGTGTTTATCTCCTCCACCTGTCCCGACCCAGCTCCCTGCCCACCTCCCACCACCGTCTGTCTGTCCCGGTCCGACAGCATGGATCCGTTTGCCTGAGAATGTGGATGGCTGTGATGGTGGATGCCGTTCAGGGATGTCATGAGCCCAGCCCCATGGCCCCCGAGACCCCGAGCCAGGTGCTCCTCGCCCCGGGACAGCATGGCCGCGTGGGACTCAAACCCCCCAGATGAAAGCATCTTGTCGTTGGAGAGGTGAGCCCCAGGACCATAGGCGCTGAGAGTCTGCTGAGAGCTGTGCAGAGACCCGAGACCATTGGACAGAGGAGACAGGGGTTGTCCCATGCCGGACATGTCTTTAGGGTAGTGGCCGTACAGGTTACTCATGGAGGCGAGGCTCCTGTCATCCCTCATCAGGGTAAAGCTGCCGCTGACGTTCCCAGCTGCAAGCCTCTGGTGCGCCGGATGATGGTGAGCATGTGGGTGTGGGTGATGAAATTTCTCCGACACGGTGGAGATGGGTGGCAGGTGCTGTAGCGGCGTCAAGGTGGTGTAGGTGCTGCTCAGGCTCATCCCGGAGTCGCACGACATGGTCATGGCCGGGTGCAGGGGGCCAGACAGCGCGTGGTCTGTGCGGTAGTCCCCCGCTCCCTCCAGTATCGAGGCCATGCTGGACACCATGGCCGACCGTCCGTGCGACACCAAGTTCCGATGCGACGCCGACGACTGGCGCGCGTGCGGGGAGTTCATTAAGTCGCTCGTTTGGTGCGAGTGAGACACGCCGTGCAGATTTCCGATGTTTTCCATTGAAAGCTCCATCGTTGAAAGGATCTTTATTTCCACCCCTCTCGCCACTCTCTCGCTTCTCTCCCTCTCCCACTGTCGCTCTGTCTCCTTTCCAATAAAATTTCAACGATTTCAAAGCCAAGCCATTGATCGCAGTTGCTTCTCGGCAGTCAATCCAGCATGGTTTTAAAAGATCGGATCCCAGCCGCTGCACAGAAACCGCACCGCAATCCCCTCTGCTCAGTGCGTGAAGGCGTCTGCGCCTGCTTGGATTTCTCTCGCTCTTCACCTTCTACTATACCCAAAGCGCCGCTTGCCTCGCTGTGTGTGTGTGTGTGTGTGTGTGTGTGTGTGTGTGTGTGTGTGTGTGTGTGTGTGTGTGTGTGTGTGTGTGTGTGTGTGTGTGTGTGTGTGTGTGTGTGTGTGTGTGTGTGTGTGTGTGTGTGTGTGTGTGTGTGTGTGTGTGTGTGTGTGTGTGTGTGTATCGACGCGCCCTCGCTCCTGTTAAGGCGAGACCGAGCCTGCGCTCATGTGCGCGCCCCCGCGGTGTGTATATCCTCGCTCTCGCGCGCTTCTGTCTGGGGCTGATCTGACGTCACTGGCCTCCCCCGTGTCATGTGTTGTTTCACGTTGCAAACTGAACCTCGAATTCCTGAGAAAGATTGGATTAGACGCGTTAGATAAAACTCAGATGTGCAATCCTTTGCGGAGTGCGCAACATTTGCACGCAGATGGATAAGGAGAACTCGCTCCCTGTTTTCTTTGATAAGAGCTTCTGACAAGGCGCCACAACACATGTGATGGCTCTGATGAAGGTTAAATATTAATTGACATGTCACATCAGGCCACAAGAAAAGTGGAGTTTGTCTCCAGAAGGAGGTCAGAGCTTAAAAACAGTTTTTTCTACTCGTGATTTTTGTTTATCGGTTCAAATAAATACAAATAATTTAGATAAATAAGCAAATAGTTGCCTCAGCTCTCGAGTGAGTTTCGCCTTCATTTTCTAAAATCTCAACAGCATTAATGATTACACATTCCACCATCTTGCCTTCACTCATAACTTTTCTCTACCAACTTGTTTTTCTTCCCCCCACTGTTGCCGAGTTAAATCTGTTGAGTTTTATTTCATCATAGCCTCTAGGCTTTGACCCCGTTTGACGCATCTTTGCCTCTTGGATTGAGATCCACGAAAATCTAACTCTCCGCACATCAGCTCTCGTGTTTCGTGCCTTTGCAAACTTCTAGCATGAAACTTCAGCTGCTCGCTGATGTCAATTCAGTTCAACCATCCATCAATGTCAGAGTGCGTATGGATCAGGAAATGCGTCAATAGGCTGGTGCCTGTGTGCGGGGGCCCTTGGTATGGGTGCAATACAGCAGTTCGCACGTTCAGATCGAGGGATTGGATTTTGTTGGTAGGGTTTTGGGGTGGAAAGTAAGAAAACTTCACCAGAGTGATCCAGTAGTTTACAAATATTTGTGGTCTTTCTTTCATTTTAATGCTGACGTTGCTTTTTGGGGCGATTAGAAATATTTTATATTTTAAAGTTAGGCATAAATATATTTACATTCTACAATTATGAAATTTTATATATAATTTACGATCATAAATAAGTCAGACACCTTCCAGGTGAATGCACCGAGCAGGAAGTCCAAAATCAGCATTTAGCATACCTATAACTGCTTAATACACCTTGGTCCGCAGTGTGTGTGTGTGTGTGTGTGTGTGTGTGTGTGTGTGTGTGTGTGTGTGTGTGTGTGTGTGTGTGTGTGTGTGCGTGTGTGTGCGTGTGCGTGTGTGTGTGTGTGTGTGTTTTGCCAAGTCTGTTGGCATCTTATGTAAAATGAGCCCATTAGGATTTCGACCTGCAGCTAGAAAAATATTCCAACAATCCAGGAAGTGTGCAAATTGCATAAAAACAAGCTCTAATCAGTGTTTGCCGCCTGTTATTTCATGGACATTTATGAGTGCTCAGATGAATTGTGACGTGTTGGCGCAGTTCCTCTCCGGACCTTTAAAAAACTCTTCGCACTTTGCCAACCGGAGATGGTGGCTGCTGGCTCGTGCCATGAGGAGAATAGCAGTGTCCGCTCGGGTTAATGTCCCTCTATTGATCCCAAGCAAACCACTGCTATCGAAAATGAATTACCAAAGCCCGCGCAGCAGCGAATCCGTCATCTGTGCTCAGCCAGCCGGCCAGAGCAGCTTATTGGTCGAGGTGGTGATGGATGTTAACTTTCATTGCCGGCTCTCTGCTCCCAAAGCACCGGGGTTCCCAATCAGAAATAGCACGCAGGAAACTTTCACCAAGAACGCACACACCTCCTGCGTCACCATCCTTTTTGTTCCTGCCATTTAAAAAGTTTGCATCATTTTTATTTCCTCACAAATAAAACCTTGTCAACAGGTCGTGCAGAACTGATCAAACTCAATCAATCAATCAATAAATTTCGATTTGCTTTTATTCTTATTTTTAAAAATAACAAACTCAAACAAAACAATCATTGAATAAAAAGATCAACCCCTCTCCTCTCATAAAAATCCATGGACGCCTACAGCTCACGTTTAACTTTCGAGAAAATGTGTCCTGTGGCAAATACAATATGAAATATTAACTGTGTCAATATCGCCGTTGTGGCTGGGGCGACGCTGCGCAGAATGGTGATTAATTTCATATTAATAACAGCGGAGAGGAGGTGGCCTCGGCGCTGTTTGGGCATCGACTCTGCAGCGATTGTGCAGCAGACCGTGTGCGCTTTAATGTCCTTGTTAATAATAATAATAATAATAATAATAATAATAATAATAATAACCTAAAAAGTTTCGAGCGTTTCCACAAGTTTTACTTTTAGTTTGGTGGAGTTTCCGAAACATTTTAGAAAATCGATGCTTCTGAAGAATGGATGATTTGGGGAATTTGTCACGAAGCTGCAAATGTATATAATAATAATAATAATAATAATAATAATAATAATAATAATAATAATAATAATAATAATAATAATAATAAATTATTATTATTATTATTTCCCAAATTTCTTCATTTATAGTTTAACAATTTTCTCCTCTTTTAGAAATTCCTTTGGAAAACGTGTCTCTCTCTGATGGAAAAGTGCTCCACTTAAATTATTTTACTTATAAAACCCTTAATTTGTGATTTAACGTCCGGACGTTTGGTCTGATTCGTGTTTTTCTTCCGGACTCTGCTGTGAGTTTGTCTATTTTTCGCAGGAGGACACACTCGATCCAGACAGGACTAATCTTTTCATGACTTCTTGAATGACTCCGCGGCAAATGCATCACGCTTAATGTATTCTAAAGTATATTTACTTGAATCTGGCTATTGGCAAAAGTTAAGTAGCAGTGTTTAGTAATGTGGCATTGATCAGGCCTCAGAGCAAGTCAGCGGGACGGGGCTGCTCTCATCCCCAACACACACACACACACACACACACACACACACACACACACACACACACACACACACACACACACACACACACACACACACACACACACACACACACACACACACACACACACACACACACACTTTCCTGGCTCTCCTGGAGACTAAACATCCATGTTTGCCAGTGGCTTTGCTTTAAGTAAGTTTGTTAAACTGAAAAAACACTTAATTTGCATTCACACGCTCTATATATATATAATATATATATATATATATATATATATATATATATATATATATTATATATTATATATGTTATTCATTTATTTATTTATTTGTTTATTTATTTATTTTTCATAAATTCGAACCGACCTTTAACTTCTCGAACATTTTCTGCAAAGTTTCAATAGCCTCCGGGCCAAATCAATGTCACCCTGCATTTTGAATGTTGCGTGTTTGTCCTGTTAAATCTTTAAACGGCAGCCTACTGTTAAACAGTTTGTTTCACAGTCAGAGCTCCGCCGCCACATATAAAAGACCTAAATGTGGAGGAGAGGAGGGAGAAAAAGGAGGAATCAGTTGCACATTGAATCGCTGTGTTTGTAAAACGTTTGGCAGCAGTTTGTAAAGGAATTAGTGTGTTGCCATAGATTACTATTTAGGTGCATTTGCATTTGAAAGCGCCCAGCAATAGAGGAGCGTGGTGATCAATAGCCCTGGTGCCATATCGATCCATCCGCAGTGTGATCGATTGGCAGGAAGAATTGGACGCGCATTTCCTCTCTGACTGCTCTCGGTTGCGCTCAAAAATGAAAATCAACGTGTAAAGAAATGAACGCAGAGGCCTCTCTGTGCCTCAAAGCGCCTCTGAAAATATTTAGGACAACAGGTGATGAAACAGGCCCGCGCTCATGCGCAGTGATCAATACGCATGAATATGTTTTTTATTTTTTTAAATCGCCTTTAGGTTCACTTTTAAAATAAATCCATGAACATTTTGAAGGCAAAAGTAGCTCTAATGCAATCCTAAACGTATCACGTGAGTTTCATTTTCTGGTCAAGCCGCTCAAAAAGCCATCCTAGCTCAATTATCCGTCATTTGACCAAATTGGAAAAAGACAAATGCGCTCAAACTAATGCTTTCGTCTGTCTTCATCTTGTAATTAATCGGAAAAGGGAGGAGATGTGGAAACAATAACGCTGGGAGGGAAAATACCTTTTGTCATAAAGGTCGTGGAAACCCCGTGGATTTATTTTTAATCTGACAGGCTGTTAGCGAGAAAACCATCACTCAGGTGCGTCCACGTGATGTCACAGCGATCAATAGGGCTACTAATCACAAACACAATCAATACACCATCGATTGGATCGAGATGGATTACTAAATGTTATACGGATTCACTTCTTACCCTTTTTTTGGAAGGGATTAGGATTTATTTTGGACAGGAGAGGCTGGATGGCGTGAAATTGGAATTTGGAAATTACACAAGTGTGTTTGGAAATGTACACGAGGGGGAGGAAAGTGGAGAGTTGGTTCTCTTCCGGCTCCAAACTGACATGACTTTAATCTGCTTTTAAAATTTATAATTTAAAGATATCTGAACCAGAATATTCAAATAATAACAAACACATACGGAACAGGAATCTCTCTCTCTCTCTCTCTCTCTCTCTCTCTCTCTCTCTCTCTCTCTCTCTCTCTCTCTCTCTCTCTCTCTCTCTCTCTCTCTCTGTGTATGTGTGTGTGTGTGTGTGTTTAACTATTTGAGGACCTATTCTGGGATGCTCACTAACCTTCTGGAGAACAAGAGGGCCTTATGGGGACCAATGTCTGTTCCTATGGTCTAGAGGTTAGGTGTGAATTAAGCTTTTGTGACAGTTAAGTTTAGGAATATGCTGGTTATGGTTAGGATTAGGATTAGGGTTAGGCATAAATGCATTTGCAAAATGGAAGTCAATGCAAGTTCCTAATATGGGTAGAAATAT